AAACAAATACTATTATCACAAAAAGTTTCTTATTTAAATGAGACATCAAGGACCCTCATGCTCAACCTCTGTTCAGTGCCATTTTAACACAGCCACATCCACATCCACATGACCATTGCAGATCTGTTTGGGTGGCTTAGCTCTTACCAAAGACAACCAACAGGGCCTGGGCCAGATGGTGGAAATTTTATCCCTAGAGTTGTTTAATGAGAGAAACAAGAAGTATGAGCAATTTTCTGTAAAACAGAAAGCCAGAGTAAGAGGAGCAGATGATGTCAATAAGGAAAAAAAAATCTGGCAGGAATTTGATATCATGCCCTCAATTATCTGTGTTTTAAAAAGTTGCATATCCTGATTGTTTCTTACATGGTGTTTGTCTAGAGTTAACTTAAAAACCTAGATTGTTTCTTAGATGGTATGTGTCTAGAGTTAGTTTAAAAACCTTAGGCCTTTTTAATTATTGTTAAGACATTTGAAATTTTTAAGTAACTGTCTAAAGATTCTAGCTCAGAGGAAGAATGTGAACAAATCCTTGGAGTTGGTGATAAAGAAGTGAATTGCAGGACACCAAAAAACAAAATGTACCTTTGGATTTATGAGCCAGTGAAACACCAAAGCCACTGAATTTTTTACCACTAAAGTAGAAAGAAGCTCTTAAGTACAAATGCGAAAACCAACAACAAAACTTCCATGAACCAAGAAAGGATAGTAAACTGAAGTGTGTTACCTGAGGTTCCGGTGTGATATCTTAGTTCACAAAGGGTCTTGATAGTTTATGCCTGAACAGAGAGGTTCTAGGATGGGAAGACTATAAATGTTAATATGAAAAGCATATTTTGTGCATCATAAAGGTTCTAGACACAACTGGGCCTATAAAGACAGCTTGTTCTGAAATGGTTTTCTAGCTGCTTCCTGGAGAACCCATTAGTTCCTTCTGTAAAGATTCCTCTTCCATCTCTAGCTGTAGAGGCACAGGACCATTTCATGATTTTTTTAGGAGTGTAACGGTGTGAAAAGCAAGCTTGTAAAATGAACTGCTTTCCTCCCCTTCCTAGCTAATTTCTTTCTCCCTCTGCTCTAAAGACTAGGATATCTCTTTCTGACCCCAGAGCTCATGTTTAACTCAGAAAGTATACTTTGCAAATGTCCTGCATGTTCTAATTTGTATGGTAGAAGGAGAAAATAGCTCATCTGAGCATCAGTTTGACATCATTATATCCCAACGGTCTTTGGAAGCCAATCCGCCTTCCCCCTTTTTTGACTGTCTAAAATGCCCTTGCTAGCCAGACCCCTTTGCTAGCTACAGTGTTTGCACATTTCCTTGTTAATCAGCTGCGTCGGCTCAGAGACTGTGTGTTTTGGTGTTGTTTGTGTGTGCAATCTCGTGCCGCTTCCTGAACGCATGTGTCCCTTCCCTTCACAGCCTACTCGACACCCAGCACCTCCCCCGCAAACCGATTCGTCAGTGTTGGACCACGGGATCCAAGCTTTGTAAATATCCCTCAACAGACACAGGTGGGCCGCTCTCATCTTTTCTGTATGTGGTGCAGCTTGTATTATTCATCAGGTGCATTTTAACTTGTCTTTTGGCACGAAAGGCCGCATTTTCCAGACCCTGTCCAGTCTTCCCTTTCCTCCTGATCCCAGCCACATTTCCATGTGTTCTCAGAAATCACAGAAAACTTTGCCTGCAGTTTTTGCTTCTTGTATTGAGTGGGTAGAAGAAGAGCTGTTTTAGCTATGGCAAAAAAGGTTTCCCAGGGTTAGCTAGTGTGTGTTCCCTCTTAGGAATTCATGGCCCTGTAAATGCAAGCAGACAGAAGCAGGCCCCTACAGAACCTGAAAGTAAAACCAGTGACATCAGAGTGCATACTGGGCATGGAGGGACCCAGCCACTCCTCTGTATTCATTAGAGGGTCCCCAGGAACCTGGCAAGCTTTCTGAAAGAGAGGGGAAAAGGGTGCATGAGCCCTATTAAGTTGCTGGTGTTGGTCCAGGAATAAGACGTGTTTGTTAGTGGTTACTGCTGGCCACGGGGGAGCAAGGTGCGGTGGGTGGTGAGGGGTGTGTATGAGTCATATCTGAAGCAGGTGATTGAGAGAAGATGACTGCCCAGACATCCAGAGCTTGTCTGCCCATAGACAGTTGTGTTTTGTGCTAGTCCATGTCAAGGAGAAGAAATCTTTTTGAAAAGTTTTGGAATGGCTGCTGTATATTGAGAAACAGTAAAAGACTTTTTAAGTTCAAAGTTAGTATAGGTAGAGGCATTTAGAGGTTTATGAAATAGAATTACATTCACGTTTTGAAATAAACTACTCTCTGATTTCCTAATTAGAACATGACCATATTTTATCATAATTAACCTAAGGAAAGTATTTTCTCCGTAAGGTTCTTAGCACGGTGTTTAAAAACATTCTTGGAGCAATTTTGTGCACATGCCTGTGTGTGGAATCTCCAGATGCCTAATTCATAACTATTCGCCTCCGTTTATAAAACTATGGCCAGGTGCATATGAATGGAATAGATTTGCCTTCCTGGGTCCCTTTGCTCCCTCTGTAAAGGGCTTTGGTTTATTGCTATGTCGACAGCACAGGTTAAACTGCATTGTATCTGAAGCCTTCCTCACACTGAAGCAGGGTCACAGAAAGTACAGCATTAGCAGAGAAGGCAGCTGGGAGGAGAGGGAGAGCCAAAAGGGGAGAGAGAAGGTTAACTCTTGAATTTCCCACCTCTGTTGTTTCTTCTTAAACTGGCCTGCACATGGCATCTGAGATTAAAATCTCCTATTCAGTACCTCCCATAAAATTCTTTCAGTTATTTGCTTATTTTAAACATACCTTCAAATATTCAAACACTTTTCTGGTGAATTTGAAGTTGCATAATTACCTGTAAAGCATTAAAACAGAAGAACATAATTTAATTCTGTACATTTGGCGTAAGTGTCCAAGTTCAATGAGAGGGGGAGAACTGGAGATAGTAGCTCTATATTGGATGATTCATTTTCCCAAAGCACGAATGTCCTCAAGTTGCTTCATTAAGAGCCTTTAAAATGCAGCTTTGAAATGTCCTGTCTGTATTTTACATAGTATTTTTTATATAAGCTATGATTCACAGCCCTGAAATTGTACGCTGTGTTCCATTCAATTTCTTTCTCTGTAATCGAAATGTATTATATTCCACTGTGGCTTTCCTTCACAAATGCCTCACTTAACCCAGAATCTGAGTTTTCGTAATGCTGACCACAAAAATTCAATTCTTAAAAATCCAGATTTTCCACGCATCTGGATGAATGATGTCATGTAGGCCCAATATTGGCATCTGGAACTGAATTTTTTTTTTTTTTTTTTTTTTTGGTTTCTGTTAAGTATTTGGCATCATGGGGACAACAGCTTAAATTTTTCTTACCACAGTGACACCTGCCACATTTGGCTTGAAGAAAGTCATTCCCAATTGTCTAATGAGAAGCTATGCTAATGGAGTTGTCGTTTTCCCCCCAAAAAAAGATATCTTGAGGTAAAAATTATGTATTCTAAATATTTTAATTTTAAGGCATATATATTAACTCTTTTCTTAAATGAGGAACTATTTTCTGGAACCACTTAAAGTGTTAGATATATGTAAATATAGATAATAAAAATAATAATATACCTGAAAAAAAAAGTTCCCTTTCAAGAGGACATTAGTTCGGAAGAGGAATTTTTGACAAGAATTTTTTAAAATATAATTAGAACATGGTCTGCATATTTCCTAGGCAAACTTGTGTTTTTCTATATTGATACCCTTGTTATAAAGCATGACATTTATATTAATTGAATTACAGGAAAAGTTATCTGGGAAAACAAAATTTTGCTTTCTACCTATGGAGGAATAAGAATTGAAGCGTCACCCAAGCAGATACTTAAGCTTTCTAAATGTAGAAGCAGTATCTTGTACATAAATCTATAAACAAATGCAAAATAAAATGGCCTTTCTGCTCCCAAAGACCAGTTTCCAGTGGAAATATCTTAAAATGCCTGAAGCATCATCCTGTAGAAGATGGAATTGATGGGGTCTCTCTTTTTTCAAGTGGGTAGAAATTGAACCAATGTAGGCATTATAAGTAGGCAGCTTTCAGACTATCATAAGATCTTTTTTAAGAAAAAGAGTTATTTGATTGTATATAGCTTCTATGGGGCATTTTCTATGTACTAAGTCCATCAAGCATGTGATGCACCTAATCTTTATAGTCACCTAATAGGCTAGATCTCTACTTTATAGATGTGGAAGCTGAGACTAAGGAGACTGTTGATTTTCCCAAGGCCATACTATAGTCAGGAGTGGAGCAAGAATTTGTATCCAGTTCTGTCTGACACCAAGGCCTATGCCCTCTAACCACTGTACTATGTTACTGCCTCATGAGCTGGTGAGCTCTTTTCCCTGGGGATTTTCCAACAGACACTGATGCTCACTTCTCAGGAATACTACTGGTGGAGTCCCTGCTTTTATCCCTGAGACTGCATTAAAATCTAATCTTGAATGTATAGCCCCAAAAATGGAAAGCAAAGTTTCAAAGAGGTATTTGCTTATGGTTGTAGCAGCATTCTCCACGATAGCCAAAAGGTAGAAGCAACCCAGGTGTCCATTGACAGACGAATGGATAAACAAAACATGGTGTGTACGTAGAATGGAATATTACTCAGCCTTTAAAAGGAAGGAAATTCTACACACGCCACAACGTGGATGAATCTTGAAGACATTATGCTCAGTAAAATAAGCCAATCACAACAAAATAAATACTATATGATTCTACGGATGTGAGGTACCTAGAGTAGTCAAATTCATAGAAATGGAAAGTCGAGTAGTGGCTGCCAGGGGTTAGGGGGAGGGCAGAATGGGGAGTCAGTGTTAAAGGGGTGCGGAGTTTCAGCTTTGCAAGATGAAAAGAGTTCTGGAGATGGATGTTGGTGATGTTTGCTCAACAACGTGAACGTACCGAATCCCACTGAACTGTACACTCAAAAATGGTTAAGATGGCTTTTTTTCGAGGTGGGAGCCGACTGTTGTGAGGTATGGTACTGGGTGCAGATGCAATGTGGCTCTCGATAGCACCTTATGGACAGTTGTGTCCCAAAGGAGGGATAACAATAGCTACTGAAGTCCTAAAGAGCAAGCCTAACTCAAGCCATTGGCATACAGGCATTAGACAGAAAACTAGAAGTTGAAATGGTGGAGTCCAACTTGTCTGGACCAGCTTTATGTTTCTGGTGCCGATGTTTGGAGACCTTTTAAAGGTATGGAGAGTCGACTTGACTACACCGTGTGGAGCAAGTTTTAAAGAAGCAAAGGACTCAGAATTCATGCTTGAAGAAATGCAGGCAGACCTGTTATCCTAAACTAGAGTTTTTAATGACCACAGCAAGCAAGCATGTAGCTTACCGCTTGAAAGGGTCTTGCCTCACCCAAGCTGGAGTGCAGTGGCCCTTTGAGGCTTACTACAGCCTGCCTCAGACTTCTGGGCTCAAGTGATCCTCAGCCTCCCAATGGTCTTTGTAGACAGCCTGATGGAGTCTCATGGCACAAGAAGATTAAAACAGTGTCTCCAATTTTAATAAATTTTTGCAATCCAAAAAAAAAAAAAAAAAATGGTTAAGATGGTAAATGTTACATTGTGTGTATTTCACCACAATTTTTAAAACAGAATCATTAAATAAGCTCTAAAGTCCTTTTCACCTCTTAGGAGTTAAAAATTCTGTGAAACAGTCAGGGCAAGTGGACTGTTGATCAGAGTAATCATGTGCTGACTGCTCAGAAAAGCACTAATGATCATGCCCAGCACATTGTGGGTACTCTGCATACATTGGCTGAGTCTAAATGGTTCAGAAGGAACTTAACAAAATATGACTTTTTCTTATTATATTCATAATACATGTTAATTGTGGAAAATACAGATGAGAAAAAGGATAAAAATCACTTGTAGTCCTACTATTAACATTTCTATATAAATCCATCCAGAGTGTTTCTGTGCATACAAATATATTGCAAAAAGTGAGATCATATTATATACACTGTTTGGTAGCCTGTTGTTTCTTCCCCTTAACAGTATATTATGGCCTTCTTACCATGTAAATTGGAAAAATTGAATATTGGCTTTTATTGCATCTATTCATCATCTGTAATGATTGGTAGGGAAAGATAACATGGATAATTGAAAGCCATTTTTCCTCCTCTTTCGCTTGTAGTCTGTTTTTTTCTCCAGAGAATTCCTCCCTTGACTGAAGCAGAATTGCCTTCTCTTTAGCCTTGCCTTGAGCTAGTTTTCTTTCAAACTGCCTTCCAGTTGCATTGCATATCTCGCCCTGGCTTTCGGCTTTGTTCGAACATTCCTGGCTTATCTGTCCCATTCTTTTGCCTCTCTTGTCTGCTGCCTCTGCTACCATCATTTGCCTCTCATTTTTCTTCCTCCTTCTCCATATCATAACTGATCATTGAGATGAGAGGTGGCCACCTCCCTACAGCCTTTAGAACAACCATCAACACTGAGAAACTGTGGCCACTTGTCCCACCTTGAATCTCTTATTTTTCAACATTGTCCCATGACAGCTGATATTAACATATAGAAAGGTCTCTGGGGTATACAGTATTTACTTCACTTTAGACACTGTTAGTGTGCCCTGCACGCCCACTGAATGATATAATGTAATGATAGGGAACCTGCCATTGTTTAAAATAGCAGAAAGCCAATGACCATTTCAGTTGCATCCCATAACTTAATCTGATCCCTGAAAATGAGAACCATTAAGAGGAGGCATTTATTTAAAGAAAAAAAAAGTTAATATTTCATCATCAGGTAATAAATAGAAATACCAATTTCCATGCAGGAGGACTGAGCAAAGAACTCATTTTGATTCAGGTTCTAGTTTAATCAAAAGGTTTAAATAAAATGCTTAACCTGCAGAACTCCAATGAGGACTAATTCTTTGAAATGAAAAATGAGTGCAAACAATATTAAAAACAGGCCTTTCTTCCTTACCACCCAAATCTATCACTGTTTTGCATCAACAGAATCGTGGTATCCAAAATGCTGTTTAAAACCAAATTACCATTCAGACTATTAGAAGAATCACTTGGCATGGCATGGGCCCGATTTGTTGACAAAAAGGCACAGGTGCTATAACCTTTGCTTAATAAATCATTTAGCAGCCTGACTTGCAAGCAGTGTGATTGCCCTTGCCTCATGAAATTTACAAATGTATGCACAAGCCACACACTTCACTGTGTTGGAAGCCGGCTGATCTGGTGAGGTCCCTGCATAGCTAAAGTATGGTCATGACACCCATTGTCTGCCTCTGGTGGGGGTGCACCCAGAATGGGAGAGGTAGAGATCACGGAGAGCATTTTGAGCTGTTGCCATTCTGTGTGTCACATTCCTGAAGCTCTACTTGAGAAACCAAAGCTTAGGCCATCTGTGGAACTCTTCATAAGTTCCCTTCTTCAAGCGTTTAGTGTTTACTTAATTACTTAATATAGCCTCAACACCTACAAAGTACAGGGAATAAAAACTCTCCTCGAGTTGTTCAAAGTCTAGCAGAGGAAACATATGTGAAGAAATAATAGTAATGACAACATCAACATCAGTAATGCAGTGTAATACCAGTACTATGAGGATTTGTCTAAGAGGCTTTAAGACAGCAGAGTTGGGTATAAGAACTTTCCAAAGAGTGGAAGCAGCAGAAGAGGCTGGATAGTTTTTCTGTCCTTGTCCTTGTCTAGCTTGGGCCTAATGATATAGTTCTTGTACACTTTTTCCCGCTTTTAACTTTTACCATCAGATGGTAGATCATGTTTTAGCCCATCCCAATAAAAGAGACAGGTTCAGTTCTATCTTCTCTGGACCAGATAAAATTAGACTCCTTTACTGCTGCACAAGGCTCAACCAGTAACCCCTTCACCCCTCATTTCCAAGAAACGCCCCCTCCTAGTGGTACATCCTTACTTGCCCACCCAAGCTCACTTGAGATTGCATTTGAGTTAGCTGAAGCCATTCCCGGGCTCCTGCCCACCCTGACAGGAGCTGCCTGGGTGTAGAATGTTAGTTAGCACACAGAAGTTCAAGGAGTAACTGGAGAGTTACAAAGGCAGGAAACTCAGATTTCCTTAGAGAAAAAAAAAAAAATTATATATATATAATTTATATATATATTTATTATATAAAATATATTTTAAAATTTATTTATTATTGTAACAAATGTATATTATTTATTATGATAATAATTATAATTATTAAAGAATAAATAATATTTATTCATTATTATATATAATAAATAAATTTATATATATATATCTCTCTCTCTCTCTCCCACCCTGCAACCCTACTTCATCTTCTAAATTAGAAGTGGATTTGAGCATTTCAGTTTCAAGCCCACACAGCTGAAAACTCCCAAGATTAGAGAGGAATGGCAGATAAAATTCCATTTTCTCCTGACTTTGAGCCAAGTTCAATGTCTTATTGGCCAAATGAGTATTCTACAGCACCCATGCATGCTAGGTTCTGTGTCTACACTCGCTACAATACTGAAGAGCCCTCTAAGGTTGGTGCTACATCTCCATTTTACAGATGAGGAAACTGAAGTCTCAGAAGAGTACATTTGTCCCTTGGTAATTGAGGTAGCTGAGATTTGAACCAGTCTCCAAAACTTATGTTTTTCCCAAATACTTATCTGCATCCCCAATTGTTTGTAGTGAAAGGTTACTGACCATTTTCTCTTTAAAAGAGTCTAAGATTGACTCACACTCTTATATCAAGGAATCAGAAGCCTTGAGATTAGTCCCAGTGCTGCCTGCCTCCAGTGGGACTGTGCTGAACTTGGTTCTTCTGAAGATCTGCCCCAGTCTCCTGCTCATATCTCTGTAAAACCAAGACTGAATTCATTCTCTCATCCTGCCTGGGAAGAAGACCTTTACTAATGATATTAGTCTGCATCTGTGAGAACAGCTAGCCTTTGTCCAGAGACCAGATAGCAGAGCAGCTAAGATAACTCCTTTATTTTCAGATTTTAGTTGAAGCTTTATTCCATCACTTAGAAGCATTCTCTGTGTTTTATTTTTGTTGTTGTTGGGTTTTTTTTTTCACAGTAATTCAATTTATCTAGTCTAGTTTTTTTTAACTGTAAAATAGTGAAAATAGTGAGATATAAATATGTGTGTGTATATATATACACACACACAACCCTATGGTTTTGAGTCTTAAATTCTGTTAGTGTAAAAAAAGTTTTTAACACCTAATGAACACCTAACAAATGATAGCTTTCATTGTTTGGTTAATAACTAAACTCTTACTTTCTGGATTACAAAGTATTTTCTCATTTGATTGTAAGAGTTACCCTTTGAAGTAGGCAGAGCTATTATTATTGTTATCCCCACTGTATAGGTTAAAAAAACTGAAGTTTAAAGAAGGGAAGTGACTTTCCCAGAACCACATATCAAGAGGTCGGTAGAGCCAGGACACAAATCCACTTCTGATTCCACATATCCTATGAAGGAAGGACTTGTGTATCAGCCATTCAGCAGCTGCTGTTCTATGGTCACAACCTACTTACCAAAAGCAACCATCTAACAAATTAGGAAGCCTCCCCCTACCCCCTGCAAGATCCTAACCCTGTAGGTTGCTCCATTGAGCATCAGCCTTAAAGGTGCCCAAAAGCCTATTTAAATTGGGCACGGCTATTCTTCCCTTGTACAGGCAGCAGCATAAGTGCACTGTTTCTCCCCTTATGCTAAATTGTGCCTGAGAAGGGCCTTCCCAAGGGGAGACGATGTCTCTGAGAGTGGTAAGGACCGGCAGGAAGTGAATGCATCCACCCAGAATCTAAAGGGAAAGGAGGTGCCTAAATCGAGGTGGTGCCTGGTCATTTTTTCTCGTATGTTCTCAGCTCCAGTAGCAGGTGTTGAATAGTAAGCAACACCTCGCAGAGTTGAGTTACTCATGCAATCTGCTTCGCCTCCCTCCGTACTACTGTGGGCAGGAGTGAATCGTCCCAGCTTCCCCAGCTCCCACACCAACCTGTAAGTTCTTGACACATTCTTTTCACATACACTTGGCGGCTGACTCACTGACAGGCTATGAGACACTCTTAAAATAAATTTTTCAATAAACAGAGTCTTTGTCTTTCAGGTTTTAATTTGGCAGCATGTTGTAGACATGCCACAAACTTCACTTCTGGACAAAGTTCGAGCCATTACTTCTAGATACTGTTCACCTTTTCTCTCCATTCCTGTTCTTCCTGTCACCTTTGCTCCACGAAGACTTGGGGGATCTTCTTAGTTGAAACAGATTGATGATTATTGTAATAATTAAGGTCTCTACGATAGTATCTGGCACACAATAGGTGCTCAGTACATATTGCTTCCCTTCTTGCTTCCTTTTTTTTAGTATTAAAATTAGAACAGTGGCAGTAGAGAAGGGGAAGGTAAAAAAGAGATTTCACAGGAAATGTTACATTGTATGGGAGAAGAAGGAAAAAGACCAAAAATCTGCTATCCATTCAATTAGCCCTTGGAACTGTGGGAAAAGGGGGACAGAAAATGATGTCAGGAAAAGGGTTGGAGAAAGGAGCTATGAGTTGGTGGAGAGAACTGACAGGAAG